TTTGACTACAATTGAATAATTATTGCTGAAATTTCTATTATTCGTTATTTTTAAAGCTATACTGCTTTATTATTTTAAAACTTCACTGTCTTATTATTAATATTCAATAGACTATTCTACTAGATAGGTGACTACCTAAAATAAATGATCAAAAAGTTTTGAATAAGATGTTATTGCTTCCAAATTTAATTTTACACTTTAAATTTGCTCTGTATCAGCTATTCTTGCTGAACAACCCCATGCTTTGTTTTATTTTTTAATTATCTCTTCTAATTTCTCTTTAACAGATTTTATCGTGTTTTTTACATCTTGGAATTTTTTCATTATTGATTATCTTTTTTCTTCTTGAATTTTATCATTAGGGTTATTTTTAATTAGTATTAGCAATTCATCAACTTCTTAATTAATTTATATAGTGTTTTCTTTTATATCCTGTTCTTTTTTTACGATCTCTTTTAATTTCCCATCAGCATTTTTGAAAACTTTCCATCCTTTTTCTATTTCTAATTTGATTATTGCCTTGGAACTCATCTGCTTGACCTCTAATATTGTTTACTAGAAGATTTCATTATTTTTTTTTATAGTTAATTGCAGAGCTTTTAAATTTTAATTTAGATCAATTATTTAATCCTCTTTTTATTTTAGTTAATCTTCTTTTTTTTGTATCATATACTTCTGATCGTTGATATCCTATGTTTTTTTTCTAAAAAAATTATTAATATTAATTACTTAATTTCATATTCCAAATTTCTTATTTTCTCTAATTTTTCATCAATAGTTAGTTGATATTAATAGTTTTTATCTTCTTATTTTTCTTTAATATATTTTTATTACTTATTTTCATTTTCAGCTTGAATCAATTTTTATTCAAGTTCTTACCTTCTTTTAAAGAACATCATGTTCATTAAATATTATAAATTCTGATATTAAGTTATTATTAAATCTAAATTATTGGCAATATCATTTTAATATTTCTCTCTATTTTATTCCAATAAATCTTCAATATACTATAAAAGTTCTTAATAATCCTATAAAAATATCTAACTTATTTACATTAAATTGAAATTCTTTGTTAATCTTTATATTCTTATTCTTAAAATTGAAATTTTCAATTTACAAACTCTTTTTCTCTTAAATATTTTTTTCATAAGGAGATTGTAAATATCGATTAAGGAATTTAATAGACTGCTTTGAATTTTATTTTCCTTACATTTGGATATATATATAAATAAATAAATAAATTTCTTAGCTTAATTTCATATTAAAAATAAATAAATTCTATTAGCATAGACACCTTTAATTTAAGAAGAGAAAATGAAAACAATAAGAATGATTACTTATTATTAATAAAAAATGTAATTGTAAAATTATTGTGATAATATATAATAAAATATTCTAGATTTGTAAGCATCATGTACAGATATTTTTGTCAATTTATATCTTAAGGTCATGTAGAATTTGTAAACAGGAGATTGAAAAATCAAATATCAAGGATATTTATAATAATATTAATAAAAGAGGAAAAAAGAATAATAATATTTACTTTTCTATTGCTCTAACAAAAAAATAACATATTATATAAATTCATTATTTTCTGAGAAGAATTAAATATTATCAAACATCTAGGTTTGAATTGAATAATGTTCAAATTAATGACCTTAAATTTTTAGTTTTATAAAATTAGAAATTTTTTTATAGATCATCAATAAACAAAATACAACCATTAATATGATTAAAATAGAAAGCATTAGAATTGTTTTATTAATATTTTATATCAATTTTTTAGAAAAAACAATAACAGAAAAGGCAATTACAACATTTACATATTTTATCCTAAACTTTAATATAGATATTAACTTTTTGGTATATATATATTGTATTTCATTTGTAACTAATTAAGTAAAGGAGTGTTAATAGAAAGTGAGCATGACCTATTTCTAAAGATCGATGTTTCACACATAAAGCTTTAATTTATAGTAATTCGCAGCAACTTTTATAGTTTCTTAGTATTTAAAGCATCAGACATTATGTGTAAATAGAAAAAAAAGCCAATCCTTCAATTAGACTCCTAGGTCCATTTTGGTAATTAAGTAATAATTGCATTTTATACTTTCTAGTTCATTATTTAATATTATCATGTTCTCTCTCAAAAATATTTATCAACTTATTATCAATCAATAATCAACTTTATATAAATTAAATTACTATATGTTTTATTTCCACATAATCTATAAATAGCTACTTTATTAAGTTTGGTAAGAAAAAAGAACGATATAAATATATTTTAATTTATTTATTTCTTTTCTTTTTATCAAATTTTAATGTTGATAAAATATTAATTATTTATTGATAAAAAATTTCTGAATTCATCTATTCATTTGAAATAAATTACAACTGTTATATGTTCTTTAATAAAAAGTTTTTTAACTAATTTTAAATTGATTTTTATAAAATTGCTTAATGAAATTATTTACTTTAATTTAGTGTTATTTAGAATATAAATGTATTTTCTATTAATATCCTTGTAACAACTATCAGAAAAAAAGTTTTAAAAAACTTGAAATAATCATTATTTTCTATTTTAATTATAATCAATTTATCAAAAACTCAAGATTTAATTTAGTATCTACTTTTAATACATTTTCAATTAAAACCCAAACGATAAAGGAAATTTATTTTCAAATTAAATCTTGAATTTTTATGATAATATTAATTAATTATAAAAACACTTAAAACAATACAGATAAAATATCAAAAAGAAATATCAAAAAAAATAGTAAAACTATCTTTTCTTATTTTTAGATTAATTCAAAAACGATTTTATAAGATATTTGAAAGGGATCATATTTGCTATCAATCTTGTCTAGATTAAGGAGATCTTATAAATTGGTAGGTGGGGTTTGTTTAGAATTCCCTAACAATTGAACCTGTGAATTTTGAAGAGGCTCTCACATTTGTTAATCAAAAAATCTAAAACCGCAATTCTATGTACTAAACTAAAAATTAATCAAAAAGCAAATACTTTTACAATATTTTACTCCAAACAGAATTCCCTTTACCGATAAAATTAAATTAATTTTACAAAGAATGAATGACCATAACATTTCATTATTAACCTAATTTGTAATTTTGGGAATGCCAATACAAAGATTTAAAATATTTGCAAATGGAAGTGGAAGTTTATTAACTTATAATGGTGTTCATCCTATGAATTTCTGATAGATCATTCTAATTGGATCTCAAATTATATTAATGAAGGAAATAGAGAAAACTTATATTAAATAAAAAGTATCTATGATATTTTTATTTCATCTTAAAGTGAATTATGATTAGCTATCAATTACAAAAATTCGAAAATTAGTTAAATAACTAGGATAATCCTATAATAAAACATTAAACATATGTTAGCAAGTCACATCTCAATAAAATATAGAAAAAAGTGTATAATACTCACTTCAGTTTTAGTTTAAAATAAAAAATAGTTTATGCCCAATTTACAATGATGAAAGTGGAGTAAAATAGGGCAAAAGCTTCATACAAACTTTATTTCAATCATAAAGAATAAATATTATTGGTGCAATTTGATAAGGATTGTTATTATTTTAGTGTGTAAGAACAAACATTGATAATAACTTAAAGTAATCTTTGAGAAATATTAATTGAAAAAAGCTATTGTAGCTTGAAAGTAGAAATATGGTGTTCAGTTTGAAATAGTAAAAATAGATGAAGAGTTTTAGTTGATGTTGAAAAAGTGTTATTTTATAATTTATAACATTTATATCATAGAATTATTTTTTAAGTTCACTTTAAATTAATCTGTTTCCATAATTTATTTGATTCTTAATTAGGTAAGGAAGTAGGTAAGATTTTCAAGTTTTTTTATGGATTTCCTGTGTATTGGTTACCATTTCTCACGCATGCTGCGGAAAAATATCTCATTAAAGGGGCCACATAATCAAGATGTGCTTTGATAAAAGAATTCAATATTTAAGTCATATGTCTGATTGGGAGACACCAATTCAGACTAGTTAGCTAATTACTTAAGTATTCGATCCTATTTTACATCATTTTTCTTGGGTATTATAAGATAATATGAGATTGTATTCTATAAATAATAATAAACTTAACAATATTTTTAATAAGTCAATACTTAATAATTAAGTGACCTCAATGCAAAGATATCAGAGAGACGCTAGTAGATCAATTAAGAAATAGGAGAATAAATTATTAAAAGAAAAAATAAGTAAGTGAATTAAAATGAAAGCGTTTTACTAAAGAAGAGAAAAATTCAGCATCAGCTGTTCCCTAAATATACAGCATTTGTAAATAAGAATTCAAGAATGAGAAAAGATTAAAATTTCATTTCAAAAGAGTATGTTATAACAAATAAGATTCATGAGTGAGTAATTCATATGATATACCAAAGAGTGAATTTGAAACACACTGTATTTTAAAAATAGAAATTATCTGTTAATAAAAAGAAATCAGGAATATTTACTCTACATTATTTATATTTAATGGATTATCCTATTGTCTAGAAATATAAATATTTAAGTATTTTAATCAATAAAAAAGCTTCTAAAAATGGGCATCTAATTAATATATAAAAATAATTAAAAGCAAAAGTAACAAAGTTAACATGGATATGTAGGAAAATCACTTTATTAAATAAATCAATATATGGAAATTTTTATCAATTCTATCTTAAATTATACCTTACCTGCAATAAATGAAAATAATTAGAAAACTTAAAAATTGAAATAGAATTAATAAAATAAAAAAGTCATCTTTTATGATTAAAATAATATATTATTAAAAATAGAAATGGTTAAATTATTCTTTTATATTGAATTAAAAATTGATTATATCATTTTATTATTTAAAATAAAAAAATCGAAATCTTCAAATGCAATTATGAACACCATGAAAATGAGGCCATAAAAGGCTTTTGTCTTAATTCCAAGTGTTAAACGGCTTGCTAGTATTGTTACAAATGCTTAATGAAAATACATTCAGACCATCATGAAGATTGCATTAGATTCTCAGAAATACCTCATTTGATAAATTAATATATTTTAGCGTAGGGTAAAATAATACAATAATCAAATGAAATCTACATTCAAATAAAAAACCAGATTGAATCAAATATTAAAAAAATGAATGACAATATTTATATTTTAAAGGATTTAAGTAATTATTATCAGCTTAAGAATAATTAAAATTCAAATCATCAATTAATTTGAAATTATACTATTCATTATAGTAATATAAAATAGAAGGTTAATCTTTATTTATAGATTTTAGAGTAATTTATGAAAGTAAATAAATTAATATATATAAAATAACTGAATTAAAAGAAACATAAGAAAAATTAAAATATAAAGAAAAAAAATGAAAATCAACTAGAGACTTAAAAAATATTTGAAATGGCAACTTAATTATTATATAATTAATTATTTTATGATGTAACAAATGAAGGAAAACATGAGGATGCTTTAAAATTGTATTACAAATGATTGAGCCTTTTGAATTAAATTGGTAAGGTTTTTAGATGGAAAAGTATAGAATAATGTAATATGTCTCGATTAGTCATTAAATAAAAATTTATCATATTTCTGTTAAATGGAAGAAGCTATTGAATGCTACGATAAAGCCATATAATTGAATCCTAAAAATAATAGTGCCTATAATAACAAAGGTCAATCCTTCATTTTATTAATAGCTATGGCTTTAATTTAGGAGTATGCATTTTATGTTTACATCAATTGCAATAATATCAAGTGGCTATAAACTTTTATGATCAAGCTATTAGCCTCAATAAAAAAGCAATTAATTTTACAAATAAAGCTATTGACAAAATTACCATACTTAATTAGCTTAAACTTTTAATAGATGATTGACTAATATACTTTTATTAACTTTGGAAAAAATATAGAAGCAAAATAATGTTATTTGAATGCGGTTAATGCATAATTTGCAAATAAAGATTACATATAAAAATAACTGTTCAAGTTATGAGGATGATTATAGGATAATTAAATTTAAATTAAATGAAAATTAACAATCCATCTTTATTCCTTAACTTCAATTTTTTAATTATTCTTATGCTTATTAGACTAGCAAAAAATAGTTATAATTTATTTAAATTGCATCTTTCTATTAAATGTTAAAGTTTAATTCTAGATTTTTTATTTTTTAAATGAATTAAAATAATAAATAAATTAAGATAGAATTGTTAGCGATACAGCTCTTCATCAAAAAAGAAATAAATAACAAAGACTCCCACGACTACTTTCACAGTAGAAAACATTAGGATGAAGAATTAGAAGACTAATTGATATTGTATCAAGAAAATCATAAAGTTAAAAGAATAACGAATCATTTACTAAGAATATAATTGAGGACTCTGAAAAAAGATGTCAATATCACCAAACAAAAACATTAAATTTAGTTAGATATTGCAATTGTAGTTTCTTTCTTATTCATCTAATATAAATTATTAAATAATATTTTAGTTCTTCTATTTTCTACTTTTAAACTAATATAATCATATCATTAAGAAGTTTTTAGTTCAAGTTGGTCCTGTTATTAGAAATTTAAAAATTGAGTCTGTGAAAACAAATTTATGTGTATAAATGAATAGGAGTGTTTGCGTAAAATGTCAAATAGAAATTAGAAAGTGATACTCATGATCCATCTAAATTTATAGGTTTTAGGAATAAAGAGCTTACTTTTTGTGTGTAAAGAAGGGTAAACTGAAGTCTAGTATATATATAATTTTTAAGTATTATCGGTTATTCTATTAAGAGATCTAAATGAATTAATAAATTCTTAATTTTATATATATTTATTCATTAGAAGAATTTATAAATAAATTATAAGACCAATATACCTACTCTTAATCAGAAAGGAATTGTAAATGATAGGTGTTTGCAAAAGGAAATCATGAATCCATTATGATCATGGCTTCTAGAATTAATTACGATTAAGGTTCAAAAGTTAGAATATAAAATAAAAATAAAAGTAATTTGTAATTTTTACTTCCTATTACAAAAATATGAAGGGAATATTTTTTTATAGATTGCATTGTTAGAGAATAAAATATCAGCATAGTAAACCTACATCGTTTTTTAAAAACCAAATAGGAAAGATGAAAATATGTGATAATAGATGGTATGTTGTACATTTCATAGTAGAACCATATAATAATTTAGATTACTTTTATAATGGATAAATGTAAATGGATATTACCTTTATAATAAAAATTGTGAATTGTAATTCCATAGTGATTGAATAAATAATATGATATAAAATTTACACTTTAATTTGATTTAATAAAAAATATGGGAAGCTGGTGTAAGTAAAATAATAAAGGATAGCAATTAAAGTTTTGTTAATTTTTATACAAAGTTTAAAGATATTTAATTTAATCTTCATTTTAATGACAAAATAGAAATGATTGTCTAATACAACATCTCTTTTCTCCCCTATTCTTCAAAGAACACTTTTGCCTCTTTTTGTGGTACTTTTGAAATACATCAGAAGATTAAGACCTTATATCTCTAGTATTATATTTATTATAATCTCTAAACAAAATTGAGATGAAAGGTCATCAGCAATGCTAAATAGTATATTCTTTTTTTTAATTTCCTATTCTCCAATTGCGTTAAAATATCAGAAATAAATTAATTACTAGAAAAACATTCAGGCAATTAAATGATAATAATATAATGAATGTTCAAATACATCCACTACAAAAATTGTTTATATTAAAGTAATAATATTAACTCAGTAAATCATATGAGAAATTAATATAAGAAGATTTCCTAATTTGAAATTATAGTTTATCATGATTATTAATTGTAAAATATTTATTAATCATAATACTTTATATTTTTTAAACTACACTAAAATAAATTAAATTTCATGTTGCGATGTCGCTTATATTAATTGATATTTTATAAGAGATATAAATGTCACTGCAAATAATACAAATAACACTTTTACTCTAAATTTAAATTATTCTCTATCTTTAAGATTCATTTTGTGTTTATTTCATAAATAAAGTTTATAAAATGCAACAGAGAAATAATTATATAAACATATAATAAATATATATACATTCATTAAATCTCAACCTGATAAATAATTATTAAACGAAAGGTGTTAGAAATTTTAATTATCCTATAGTTTAAGTTTGTAATCAGAACAATATTGATTTTGATAGATAACTTTGAAAACTTATCATTAATTATTCAAAATTGGTCTTTCATACACTAAATAAATAATAGTATAAGTAAAATGTCTATCACAGCTGTTTAATCCTGATCATAGTCTTTATTTTTATTATCGTAAAAATAAAACCTATCTTCAATAAGTAACATTAACCTTTATTGTTTCATGCCTATCTATTTTTTAATAAATTTTTATCCTCTATTGCCAAAATCCACTTAGAGAACCTAATTTTATAAAAGTTATTACTTGAGCTCTATTAGAAATCCACCTCGGTTATTATACGCATTTCATTGGATTTATTGCCAAAGCTTTCCCTTGGTTAAATCCAAAGAACTCTAACATGGAAAAATAGTTTACCTATCTGGCAGGAGAATAGAGATGATTTTTCCGCAGAAAAATAGTTTTTAATATTAATTATCTAATTGTTACCATTAATTAAAAAATTATCATACATTATTATCTAAAATGTTCAATTAATTTATTGAAAAATATATTTCCAAATCATGGAATATGATTTTCTGGATTATAATCAAAATTATTGTATTCAGTTTAAATTAGAATTGACTAGTAAACTGATGAAATTTAAAGAATTATTTTTTATAATATAATAGCAATTTTAGTATTTCTAAAGTTATATAAAAAAGTTTCGATTAAGAAGGTATACATAGGTAAATTGTATCAGGAAATATAATATATATAAAATTTACATCTAAAGCTTTTGAAGGTATTTTATTCAAGTGATATAAAAATTGGACCATTAATTGAGATTTACAAAGGAATTTCGAAACATATATTAACTATTTTTGGTGATGATTTTTTAAAAATTACTTTTAATATAATTTTAGTAATTATCAATATCAATTTTATTATATTTTAATTCAATATAGTATAGATAATATTATTTTTGTGATTAAAAGTATATTCTTTATTAGTTTATAAATTCTTTTTCAAGTTTCAAGATCCTTATGCTTACAAAATTGGCTATTAAGATAAAATGTTATCATAATATTAGAAGTGACTAAATAATATTAAACTAAATAGTTCATTCGGGAAATTGAGTGTTATATAGGGGTATTTTGAATAAAGAAAAATATCTTCATAAGTCTTTACTGATCATAAAGTCTAACTTGCAATTAGATACTAATAAAGCACTTTTAGCGAAAAATAATAAAAAATTTAGATTAGATGGACATAGTAGTTATGTTTAGTCAGTATACTACTCTTGTCTCAACATTCCATAAGAAAAGTGAGTTATCATCATTACTTGATGCTAATGTAGTACAATTAGGATAGAGAAGCATATAACTAAACAGTTCCACTATGTTCTTCTAATTTAAATTTTTTATCATCTAATCCCTTATTTATCCTTCCTAACCGAAGCTAAAGTATTTCTGTCCAGGCACTAATTGAATGGCCACCCTATTTATTGAGTTATTTTATACTTATTTTTCCCTTTTTAAATTAGGATTAAAAAAATTATGTGACCCCTCTTATCTTGTGATTAATATTTTTCTCTAAAAATGGTTTCTTACAAAATTTTTGAAAAAATTAATGACTCTCTCATATTTTTCTATTTTAATTAAAATCTTCTTTGTTTCATAAATGAGCCTCTAGGATTAAAAATATTGTTACCTCATTCATTGAAGATAATAAAGAGTAAATTGTAGAGCGATCTTTGTCGTAATTTGAAGAATTTAGGTGAGTACATCTTGGTCTTCGGTTCATTTACTTGTCCTTTTTTTTAAATTTTAATTTAATAGCATTATTTAGTCGATTACAGGATTTCTAAATTATTAACATTAAGGTACAATTTTTCCATATATTAAGTATTCCATGTTCTGAATATATTACTGAAACCATTTTTTTTTAGTTCAAAGCACTTTTTGAACAATTATAGAGAATGCTTTTACTAATTATTTAAATTAAGATATTTTAATTAAAAGTTTAATAAATTTTCTTTTGAATTAGAACGACATAATTCATCAAAAACAATTACGTATTGAATGAAAAGGAAAATTGCGATTTGTGATATTAATTATCTTAAAAGTTTTCCTTTATATCATCTATAAAAGGAAGCATCAACTGCATATCATTAATTAAATCTGAATTAAAGAAAAATGCAAAACTTTAAAACATAAAAATTGAAAAATTTACTACTACTGATCTTATCATCTTTTACTAATATGATTCAATCAAAAGTTAGCTAATAGCCTTGGGTTTAAATAGAAATAGAACTTGTATGGTTGTTAAATTTCATTATATAAATAAAAGTATTGTCAATTTTTATTGAAGATAAAATTATATCATCGGTTCAAGAACTCTAGCTTTAATTCGAATAGGTTGTTGCAGTGACTTCAAATAGAAGCTCGATGGTATAAAGAGCTCTTGATTATATTCTTATATAATGGATAATAACCTACAAAAAGCAAGTTTTTTGAAAAGGTATTTTGCTAAAGTGCTTATATTTGCGATTATTAATTATTTGGCTAAATTAAATCACTCAAATCATTTTATGTTTTTTCATCTAAACACTTGGGTTTGGTTGATAATTCTTATACATCAGAGTTTAGCCAACTCGAAACTAATTGATTAAAGTTTTATAGGGATAAATATGTTCAATAATTAATGATAAATTTTCAATACTTGTTCTGCTACTACTGATGATACTTCATTTTCATTCCCAAAATGTAGTGAAAATTAAGTTGTATATTTAAAATTGGAAAAACATAGTCAATATTTAAATAAATCATTAAGTTATAGGAGCTTTGAAGTTTAAATTATTGTTGATGTTTTTTTTGATGCAACTGATGATGATAATTCATCATTTTAACTTATTAATAGTAGTAATAAAGCCTCAGAAATAAATTAGCAATTTTATAGAAGAGATTACAAATTAGATGATTTAACTTAAAACCGTGTTAGAATATGTCGAAATGATTGGGGTAAATTTGAATTCTATACAGTTGTAAGTATTAGTAGGATGATAAATATACGCTATAAAATAGCAAGTTCTAACACCAATAAATTTACAATTAAAATTTGTTTTAATCCTAATTTTAATGATATGGAAATAAGGATTAGAAATTTATTGATACATGTTAATACTTGCCATCCAACTTGTTTAACTTGTAATGGGTTCTTCAGAGACTTAATGTTTATGATATTTCAACAATTTAAGCTTAGAAGGAGGAAAATGTATTTCTGATTAATAATTTTTTGAATTATTTATAGGTTGTCGACAAGAATTATTCATTTGCTCATTATGATAAAATATGTGTCAATGATAATAGAATAAAATAAAAGTTACTTTATTCGAAGAAGATCACAGTATCTCTTAATCAAATCAAAGATATTTTCTTTTGATATTTTAATTAGATGAATTTAATCCAAAAAATAAGGATTTAATTAATGTAAATTTTAATGGAATTAGTTTTATTGGAAGGTTGTAATTTAATGAAGGGATGCTCTATTTGTAAGAATTAGAATAACATTTTATTTATTCAATTTCTAATATACAAGCAATATTGAAATCTTATACAATAATCAAATATAATCTAGAATAATAAAGTAGTCATTAGCATTCTAGGTTGAAATTTTTTGAGAAGAATTAAACTTATGACTTTTTAACTTTTTAATTCCAATCCAAATCTTTCAATTAAAGGATAACTTTAATTTCAAAATGAATCTTGGGGATTTAGAAATGTCACTTTAGACGCAGAATTTTGTTAAGAAAATTGTTTAATCTGTTTATATTTGTCAACTTACTCATAATGTGATTCAGGATATCAATTATATAAAAATAAATGTGTTTAATTTGTCCTATTCATTCAACAAATTGTATTGACTATGAAGATATCATGTAAATTATAATTAGTTTATTTTTAGATTCAAGGTACTTAGCAAAAGGATTTTATGATTTAATATAACTCTTGATGAAATTAAATGATTTTATGATAATACAACAGATTTGGTTTATCAGCAAGATAGCAATTTTCTTTTTTTAGTAATAAAATAGTTTTGGGTGCCTTATTGGTATGGAATGATGGATCATATATCAAAACATGGATTATTTAGCATCCTCATTATGCAGCATTGATATATTTTAATTTAACTTATGGAAATGGTTATACTGGAACATTTTCCTATTAGATAGGGCAGTGAATGGCAACGACCATTTAATAATATTGGGGAAGTATAAAAACTTGATTGGTAATACTGATCTTGAAAGCACTATATACTTTAATGTTAGTTTAACAAACTTTTATACTAATGAGTATTTCATTGTCATTCATTATGTATATTATGTATGATTACGATTTAGTGTCCTCCTTTTTGGTCTAGTTGTATAAGTTTAACAGAATGTTCAGATGAATGCTATGTTGGTCCCAATTGTGGAGGTAGTTAATATTTAGACTTTAATTCAACTACTGAATTCATGTAAAAGTTCAGAATAATGTACTTAATGTGTAAATAATTAATTTTATTTGACTAATGGAATTTGTTTGTGTAATCCATTTACATTTTTATAAGGAGAAACAAATATTGTGAATATTGCTATGGTGATTCATAATATAATTGTCTTACATGTGTAAGAGATTATTATAATAGAGACACTAATAGACATTAATGTTTATGTTTGCCTGGATATTATGATGATGGAATAAATTTACCATGTCTTCCTATTTGTGGTGATTAATAATAGTAGAAGGTGAGGACTGTGATGATGGAAATAATAACCCATTTGATAGTTGCAATAATGGTAAATTTGGTTGTAATTTTGCATGTGATATATGCTTAAATGGAAATTTTTATTAATGTATTCCTTAATAAATTATTCTAATTATAAAAGTGGATTTTATGTTTAGAATAATGACTGTCGCTCTATTTGTTAGGTAATTTAATCACATTACTCCAATAATGCAATTAAGAATAAAGAAACTGTCTTAATTGTTAATTGAATGCTATCCTAACTGTATAGATTATCATTTTGGAAGATGTGTTAAATGTAATGAAGATAAAGGTTGGTACATTTAAATTGATGGAACATGTAATTCCATTTGTGGAGATGGAATTGTTGCCAATTTAAGTGAAATGTGTGATGATGGAATGGTAACCCATAAGATGGATGCCATTAATGTTAATTTTCTTGTGATTAATTTTATCATACTTGTGTCAACTCCTAGTGTCTAAATTGTAAAAAAAGCTATCGATTAATAATAAACAAATGTATTCCATTATGTAATGATGAACTATTAGTGTATCCTGAATAATGTGAAGATAATAATTAATTACCTTTTGATGGTTGTTTCGATTTCTAATTTTAATGTTGAATTCATTGCATTGATTGTTAATATGGTATCTGTCAATAATGCAATGAAGAAAGTGGTTGGTATTTGTAATAAGATAGATTTTGTAAAAGTATTTGTGGAGACAATATAATAGCTTTTGAAGAAATAGAGTGTGATGAACACTATTCTAATTGTCTTTGTAAATAATGTTAAATTAGATGTGATATCAATTGTTTATAATGTGAAAATGGAGTTTGTATGTCTTGTATTCAAGGTTATTAATGGGAATTTTCATTATAATAATGTATTAGAATTTGTGGAGATAGTGTATTAATAAATTAAGAAAAGGTTTGTGAAGATGGAACTAACTGATTAAATGATGGATGCTATTAGTGTTAATTAAATTGTTAACAATCATGTACTCTATGTACTTAAACTGGATGCCTAGAATGTAAAACTAAAGGATGGAAATTGAATGAATCATAAAAAAAAGTGAAACGATCTGTGATGATGGAATTACAGTATAATTTTATGAAGAATGCGNATTAATGTTTATGTTTGCCTGGATATTATGATGATGGAATAAATTTACCATGTCTTCCTATTTGTGGTGATTAATAATAGTAGAAGGTGAGGACTGTGATGATGGAAATAATAACCCATTTGATAGTTGCAATAATGGTAAATTTGGTTGTAATTTTGCATGTGATATATGCTTAAATGGAAATTTTTATTAATGTATTCCTTAATAAATTATTCTAATTATAAAAGTGGATTTTATGTTTAGAATAATGACTGTCGCTCTATTTGTTAGGTAATTTAATCACATTACTCCAATAATGCAATTAAGAATAAAGAAACTGTCTTAATTGTTAATTGAATGCTATCCTAACTGTATAGATTATCATTTTGGAAGATGTGTTAAATGTAATGAAGATAAAGGTTGGTACATTTAAATTGATGGAACATGTAATTCCATTTGTGGAGATGGAATTGTTGCCAATTTAAGTGAAATGTGTGATGATGGAATGGTAACCCATAAGATGGATGCCATTAATGTTAATTTTCTTGTGATTAATTTTATCATACTTGTGTCAACTCCTAGTGTCTAAATTGTAAAAAAAGCTATCGATTAATAATAAACAAATGTATTCCATTATGTAATGATGAACTATTAGTGTATCCTGAATAATGTGAAGATAATAATTAATTACCTTTTGATGGTTGTTTCGATTTCTAATTTTAATGTTGAATTCATTGCATTGATTGTTAATATGGTATCTGTCAATAATGCAATGAAGAAAGTGGTTGGTATTTGTAATAAGATAGATTTTGTAAAAGTATTTGTGGAGACAATATAATAGCTTTTGAAGAAATAGAGTGTGATGAACACTATTCTAATTGTCTTTGTAAATAATGTTAAATTAGATGTGATATCAATTGTTTATAATGTGAAAATGGAGTTTGTATGTCTTGTATTCAAGGTTATTAATGGGAATTTTCATTATAATAATGTATTAGAATTTGTGGAGATAGTGTATTAATAAATTAAGAAAAGGTTTGTGAAGATGGAACTAACTGATTAAATGATGGATGCTATTAGTGTTAATTAAATTGTTAACAATCATGTACTCTATGTACTTAAACTGGATGCCTAGAATGTAAAACTAAAGGATGGAAATTGAATGAATCATAAAAAAAAGTGAAACGATCTGTGATGATGGAATTACAGTATAATTTTATGAAGAATGCGATGACTTAATAAATTAAAACTGTTATCGATGTAAATACAATTGTTAGGATTCTTTTTTGATTTATCACAATGAAGGATGGGTAATAAATTTAGATAAAAAATGTAACCAAATTATAGGAGATTCTTATGTTGTTGGTACAGAATAATGTGATGACAATAATTCAGTGTTGTATGATGGTTGTTATCTTTCATAATATTAATGTTAAAAATCATGTATTTAATGCAAATTTGGATAATGTAAGAAATGCGAAAATGGATATTAAAATCTAGATGGAAAATGCTTTGAAATTACTTATGATGGACTAACGACAGAGAATGAATAATGAGATGACATGAATTTGATAGCAGAAGATGGTTAGTTAAAAATTAATTTGAATGTTCTAAAGACTGCATCCATTGTTATAAAGGTTTATTTATACAATATAATTTGGAAACAAATTTATTACATCTTCTAAATAATTAATGTATATCTTTATGTGGAGATGGTTATTTATCTAATAAGGAATAATGAGATGATACAAATTAAATACAGTATGATGGATGCTATTTATGCTTATTTTTATGTAATTATTATTGTCATACTTCTTAAATTGCTCAATGTTATTTTTTTTTATTACTTAGATAAATAAAAAAATATATGTTATATTGTTTGTGGAGATGGAATTGTAACCCATGATGAATAATGTGATAATGGCAATTTACTATCTGATTTATTATGTGTAATTTGTAAACTATAAAGTTAAGAAGAATGTAAAACTTGCATTGATGGAAATTGTTTTTAATGTAATTCATTAGGATGGCAATTGGATGTGTTAAATTATTATTGTTATAATTTGAATAATTTTGAATATCTTTTATGTTAATTTATTAAATGCTATTTTTAAAAATCAAACTATTTCTATAATAACCTAGTTTGGTGATTTATTAGTTTTAGGAAATGAATAATGTGATGATGGAAATCAAAATGATGATGGATGTGATAATTGCTAATTGCAATAGCAATAGCAATAGCAATAGCAATAGCAATAGCAATAGCAATAGCAATAGCAATAGCAATAGCAATAGCAATAGCAATAGCAAAAAGAGTGTACTCTATAAGAAAATGGTTAATGCAAAGAGTGTAATGTAGAAGGATGGGAATTTAATATAAATAAATGCACTCAGATATGCGGAGATTAAATAATTTTGGGTATGGAAGAATGTGATGATGGAAATACGATTCCATTCGATGGATGTCATTAATGCAAAATTTGATGTGAAAAATAATGTGTTCTTTGTGAATTTTGGGTTTGTAAAGCTTGTATCAAGCCAGGATGGGTTCTTAATCAATATAATAAATCCACAACTAAGTGTGGAGATGGCATAGTTGTTGATCCATATGAGTAATGTGACATGGAAATAATATTCAATATGATGATTGTTTTATGTGTGAATTTTAATGTTCAGAAGGTTGTATTGAATGTCAATAAGATTAATGTAAAAATGTGATGATTAATATTAATTCGATATTGAAACAGTTAAATGTATTAAATAAAATTATGAAGATGATGATAATGATTAATTAATTGAGATGTAGCTTATTTATTAGGCAAATTTAAGATGTGGAGAGAATCAAGTATTAATTGACCACACTTGTATGAGTCAATGTGGAAATGGTATAATAATGTATTAATATGAAGAATGTGATGATGGAAATTATTATGGAGGAGATGGATGTTCTAATTTATGTCATATTGAGGATTCATAAATAATTTGAAAAGGAAATAACAGTATATTTATTTTAATATTGAATACTCATTGCTTTAATTTATTCTCACAAATTTCTAATCTAATATGTTAAAAATACTCTTTTAGTTTATTGTCCATAGATCATTTGGGTTTATCTTTAATGATTTGTCAAAATAAATTAAGGCTTCTTTATATTTATATTGATCTTCTAAGCATAAACCTACAAATTACTATTAAAATATACCTTTAGATTTAAGAGAAAAGTTATGTTGAGGATTAATGGAAAGTGCTTAATCTAATGCTTTAAAAGATTCATCATATTTTTTCAATAATCTTAAGCAATCACCTATTAATTAAATTATGATGCAATCTACCTTTTTCACATAAAGAATCAACATGCTTCGAATCAATAGCTAATGCTTTGTTATACCAAGTGATTGCATCCTAATATTTATTTAATAATCTTAAGCAATCACCTAGAAATTAAATTATGATGCAATCTACCTTTTTCACATAAAGAATCAACATGCTTTGAATCAATAGCTAATGCTTTGTTATACCAAGTGATTGCATCCTAATATTTATTTAATAATCTTAAACAATCACCTATTAATTAAATTATGATGCTATCTACCTTTTCCAAATAAAGAATCAACATGTTTAGAATTAATAGCTAATGCTTTTTCATACCAAGTGATTGCATCCTCATAGTTATTTAATAATCTTATACAATCACCTATTAATTAAATTATGATGCTATCTACCTTTTTCACATAAAGAATCAACATGCTGCGAATCAATAGCTAATGCTTTGTCATACCAAGTGATTGCATCCTCATAGTTATTTAATAATCTTAAACATGAACCTGTTAAATTATTTTATTATTTAACCTTTACACCATAATGATTGATGATTATTTGAATCTTATTTTATAGATTTTTCTAGCACTTCTATAGCCTCATCATATTTATCATCCCAATATAATTAATAACCTAATAATTAATAAGATCAATACCTTTATCATATAATTGATACGATAATTAAGTAGAACCATTATCAATATAATAATAATCAAATTATGATAATTTTAATTATTGATATAAATTATTAAATGAATGATTTAATTTATTAGTCTATTCTGAAATGATTTTTGTAATTGATTATTAATATTCTTTAAATTAGATTGTTGAATTCAAGTAATCATTTATTTATTAAGAATTCAATAATACTAATCTTTCCTTATTTAATTAATATTTTTATATGATTCCATATATTAATTAAGAAAATGATTTTTTCATAGTTTCTACTAATGTATAAAGATCATCAATCAAATCATCACATTCTTAATTTTTCTTATCAATGAATTGAATCAAGCTGTTGATTTTTTCAACATCATCAAAATGATCATTATGGATTCTT